ACCTGTATCTATGTATGGTATACCTGTATAAATACCTGTATGATATTAATAAGGATAGTTTTATAGGTTAGTATGATTAGTTTAATCTTCCGCTTGAAGATGATCACTTGGTGATCGAAACACGTGTCGAGGTGTTAAAATAAAGATTTGGTGTTGAGAAAAAACTCTAGTAATATTCATTACTACACCAAAGGTTACAAATAGTGCATCACAAGAATTTTTCATTAATTACCCTAAAACTGATACAGCCCTCCTTAACCATCAATATTATATTTGTTAAAAGATAAGTTAAGCCAGATGGTTCAAATGGTTATTCTGGTTATTTGTAATCTTTAGTAGAATTATGCCCACCTTACTTTCGAAACTCAGACTAATATAGATTTGCCGTATAAATGCAGAAGGCTGTAATTCTTGGCTAATTTCATTTTCTCAGGATACATGAGTCAGTTGCCTCAACTTTTGTGATAAAAATATCGTGATTTGAAAGAATTATAGCATTTGATACTTCTTTTCATTCTGGAATATTTTTCACCAAATCCTTCTGCTTGGAATCCTTTACTTAATTCTTATTCTTTCACAAGTTAAGTATTATTTCAAGTTATAAAAACTTCCCATATCAAATTCACGAAGAAATGCAGATGCAATAAAGAGTTGAAAACATTACTTGAGGCGCTTGGAGTTAGACTATCACTCAAACTTTAGAAAATCAGATAAAGAATTGATAAAGTAAAAGATAAAATCAAGAGTACGAAACCCTTCTTCACTTGGAAGGATCGATCGCAGCTTGAGAAATGGTTCTTATGGAGATTCTGTAAAACGTGTTCTTCCTCACGAATCAATAGAGAGTTGTCCTGAAAATCTAGAGAAGAAAATTGGATTGGATAATTTAGGAAACACTTGCTACATGAATAGCATTTCACAAGTGTTGTTCATGACGAAGAATTTCAAGAACGAGGTTTCAATGACGAACGAGAACGGAAATGTTTCCTACTTATTCATCAAACTCAAATTACTGTTTATGCAGCTGCAGTTCCGATTTCCTGGAGTCTTTGGAGTCCACTAGATACTCGTTAGGACAACAAGAGAAGTGTTCCGAATTCTTGGGGTTCTTGTTGAATACTCTTCGTGAGCAAAACAATAGCAAAATCAATACTCCTGACCGCCCCGGATTGAATGATTCCGTACAGTCCATCTTGTCTTGTGTTTGTGAATCTTTTGCTGGAAAAATCCTCACTTGTTCACTTTGTAGTAAATGTTCAAGAGGTAGCGAAAACTTATGTGAATTTCTGGAACTTCATCTAGCTTTTCCTAATATGACTAATAACCAGTCCGTGCAAAGCTTATTGTTAAATCATCTGACAATGGAATTTTTAACAGTTGATGATCGACTGTATTGCCAAACATGCGGCAAACTAACTGACTGTTATAAGGAAACAAGTATAGCTGAAGCACCAGTCAAACTAATAATAACACTGATGATCTTCAAACAAGACTCAACCACTGACGGAAGCAAGAAACTCTTTGGAAGATTCGAAATAGATGAACATTTCAATTTAGCAGACCACTATTATAATATTCATGCAGTCATTGTTCACTGTGGTTCTGGCGTTGAATTTGGTCATTATTACGCCTTGGTCAAAGACGAAACGGACTGGTTTAAGTNCCCTATTTCTCATGTTTTTGAACTTGTGATTATACTATAACAAATACCTGAACGCGGCGTCACCTCATCATTCATCACAAATATAAGCGGTAGCTCTACGTCAGAGGACTTACAGATAAAATAGGATGGATGCTAAAACTACACAACACATAAAACAACGAGAACCATCAGAAATTCCCCGAACAACCCAAAAGACAAATTCTACCAACAAAACCAAGGAATATACTCGTATAATAGTGAAGATTGCAACGGAGAATATGTCGGCTAAACAAATAGGCGAGTATTAGCCAGATTACAAGAACACAAACTCTCATTTCCCCACATACAAACAACCTCAGCCCTATACAAACACCACCTTGATACAGGACACAAAATCGAATTGGAACGCTGCAAACAAATTACAAGCATACAACACCAGAAAACTAGAACCATAAGGAATGCAATCGAAATTGAAGAAGATCGGCAGTCTAAACAAGAGAGATGACGCTCACTTCCCCGATTATTCGCTTCTGAATAGAAGCGACCTAAGTTTAGAGTATAAATCGGTCTCCCGACTTACCAACCAACCTAAAAATCATTCTCAGTTATGTCAGTTAAAATTAGATTAGATCTAAAAAAATCAATTTTCACCTTTACCATTGCTGAAATATTTATAAAACAAATATATCAGAGCAAATCTGTAACAGATAATTTTCATTGTCAGTTTTATTACAATAATTTTGGCAACGATCCCATCGAAATTCACAGTTATAGAAACTTTTTTCCGAAAAGCTAATTTTAATATTCTACTGTTTCAAAAATAGTTTGTGATAGTGTAATATATAAGCATTGAATTGAATATACTTATTCATATGTGCGTTGCCTTTGGAAATAATTATCTTACTCCTTTTGGTACATTTACGTGATATGTCTTATCTATTATGTATAATGAACCATTTGTTTGCTTGATACCATTCTAATTAAAGCACGTTTGTAATAAAAAATCTCGATGTGCTATCAAGTAATCATAATTGATTAGGGATAATCATTTATATTAACCTTCAGTATATTGAATAGAACTGGCCGATACTTGATGAAAATCCACAATGAAAAACTAATTAATACAGTTTATTGTATGATTTTTACTATAAAGGGTTTCACACGTGTCGCGGTTTTTGTAAAACCTGTTATTGCGAAAATCATACAATAAACTGTATCAATTAGTTTTTTTTCCTTCAGAGTATTGTGAATATTCAACTCTGATAACGTAACCAGAAAGTTCACATGTACGTTGCTTTGGTCTATAAATTCATCATAATTAATAAAAAATAAAATTGAATTATAGGAAATAAATGATAACATTTTCATTTACAGTATGGTGAGAAGTCACCATTAGAAGACAATGATCTTTCAAAGACACAAAGCGTCGAATCAAACGTAGGAGAAGAATTGACGACAAAATCCACGACGTGCCAGGATAAAGAGAAATCCAAATCATCTCATAACCGATCAAACCAAGAAAAAAAGTTAAGAAATACCTTCGGATGGGCAAGAGTCGATGTGGTCTTTACGTTGATATGTTGCGTCTTCTTGGCTTCCCTCAGCTTCTCAATTTTTGTGGAAGCGCTGCAGACTCTGATTCATATCGACCATCATGATGAAATGCATCATCCTATATGGGTTTTGTGTCTAGGTAAAATTAGCGATACTGCTTTTAAGTATACATTAAGAGTTAAAGTTCAACTTTTTGGTTTCAAAGTTAAGAATTTGGAAGTAACTACCATATCGATTTTGTTAATTTTGTGGGAGTTGTGAGTTCTGGAGAAATCTGAAAAACTGACATAAGAATTCCAGAAAGGTTAGCGTAATCTTTTCGGTGAATTCAGGAAATAGATATATAATATGCTATTATTACTCAATTTAAAATTGTCCTTCTTTTCTGCTTGTTTATATGATAAAGTACAGTACATTAGATAGCTATAATAATTTCAAAAAGATATAGGCATTCATTTGAATAATTTTTCTTTCGCGTTTTAAGATCATTTTCTGTTTATACATTGAAACCTATTGAATATGCAATATAAAAAATGAGAAATGAAACTTTCTACGTTGACTGGCCTGAACGAATTGTTTTTTAGATGATTTGATTTATAGCCAGTCTTGAACTATGCCCACTGAGTATATTTGAACATTTTTCTTTCTTTATACGAGGAATTGGTCAAATTTCGGATATGCGGTTGGTTACTTCGTTCACAGGCAGATGGGGCGATGACAAACCTGTTGTTTGTTGTCCGCTTCAGCCTAGTTCCAGGAATGATACTCTGAAGGAAATCGATTTTCAATTATCGGAAATCATCGACTTTATGTTGATGATAGACACTAACTTGCACTGACGAGTGGCCAAACAGCCCGATACCGGTCTGTAAGTGTGTTCCAATAATTAAAAATCTATTACGGCAGTTGTATCGCCAACAGCATATGCAGAAATAACTTGAGTTATATTGTATATAATCCAACGCCCTACGTGGTATCAACGAGGGGAGTAGTTGTTTTCTGATAGGTGTCAGTCCATTAATCTACAGTATAGAAAGTTGAGACGGGCCTGAACGAATTGTTCTTTTAGATTATTTGACCTTCACATCCTTACGGAACTCGAATATTATCATCTTGCAATAATATTGTCAACATAACTTCCAAGCTAAAATACATTGAACAAGAGAATTAATGAAAAAGTTTTTTTTTTCTATTTATATCTATCAATAGATTGCTTTAGTTATGTTGTTCTGTTGAATATTGAATAATACAGCTTTGTTTTCCATAAAAATCATCAACATTATCCACAGCTGAAACTATAATTCTCAAACCGATGGAAATAATCAACTTTTTTTATTTTGTCAAATTAATCTAATTCTGGTAGTTGAGAATATCAGATATGTCATGTGTTGCGATATTAATTAGATTCTTTTACGATTTTCTTCATGGAAAATATAACTATTTTTAGGAGCAGCTGGTTTACTAATGAATGGAATTTGCTACCTCTTGATTGGAGGCTATACGTATCACCAAGAGAGTTTTCTGTATATCACAGAAAGTGGTGATGTAGTACTGGATAAAGTAGTTATCAACCAGTCAGAACCCAGAAGACGATCCATGTTGAAAACCATCAATACGAATATTTCAGCTCCCAGACAAAGACAAGGCGTGTGGGAGATGACCAGAGATATTAGTGGTAAGCATCTTGTGTATAGCTCAAGTTTGAGCTGAGACCGCCAAGACCAATGTTTATCAAATTTATCATACTTCTTATTTCAGGGTGTGTTTTGGTGATAATTTGTGCTTTGGTAATTTTCTTCACGGATAAAAATATTGCCAAATTCGTCGATCCTATCATATCACTTTTTTCTGCTGGTTCAATCATGCTCTTGAGCTATCCATACAGTGAGTATTATAATGATAGTGGTGATATTACTTGTTGTAGCATTATTAGGAAAATATCATTTTTGATATCGCATTTTTTAACACATTTTGACAGCAATTACTATATAGATAGTCATTATCTTGTAATATTCTACTTTTAGTGAAGGAAAGTTGCCTCATATTGCTCCAAACGATCCCAGATACGATAGACATCGATTCTCTGAAAGCACAATTATTGAATCATTTTCCCGATATTGTTAATGTACATGATTTCCACGTATGGCAGTTGACGACACACAAAATTATTTCAACCGTACACATAATTTTTCAAAATCCAAAGGTTTGTACATTGAATAACGAGAGGGGGATATATCAATAAAATTATATATTTTTAGGTGTATACTAAAATAAGGAATGACTTGAAAGAATTCTTTCTCGAAAAGGGAATAAGTCAAGTAACGATACAACCCGAATTCTTCACGAAAAATGCTAGTGTAGATAGCCTGAGCTCAAATAAATATGCACCAGATTGTTTGATGGCATGTCTTGGAGAGGTCTGCAAGGATAGTCACTGCTGTCCGAATTATCAAGTAAGTAATGGATCACTGATGAAATTGATTTCAATTGAATCCTTTATTCTGCTGCTTGTATTGATACAAGAATTTGCTTTAAAAAATTGTTTTCCATTCACATTGAAATCGAGACCGCTCGACTGTGAAAGTTACAAGGCACCAGGAAAGCCACATTCTGAAATTAGTATCAGATGTACATAATCTGTCAATGAAATGATTCTAAACTGTTCCACCCATCAGTGAATTTGTTTTCAGCCACAAGGTACCAAGGTATTGATTTGCTTGTAAAATTTGGAAGTGAAGCTGGCTCTAAATGAAATAATTGCAATTAAGTTGTTTCATGGCAGTTCTCAAAGTTATCTGGTGAGGTGGCCCAGAACAGCAAAACAATGATCTGAGAGAAATTTATATGTCTACAAGGTGCTTCAAATAATACTTTTTCGTCAATTTTATATTAGTCTGTCTTCTCTTTCTACATTTAATACCCCTATCTGGAGATCAACATATTATATGTTATTCGTAGCCGTCCTTTCATTATTTGCTTTCATCAAAATATTTTCCAAAAATTTGACACATAAGTACTGTAACGAGTTTGAAGCCTGCCCTGACCGATATCTCAGCCAGCGAATAAACAATGACTCGCCGCAAAAGGAATGCATTCGACAAGCCACCGTGAATAGTCTAGGCCAGTGCCGAAACCCCTAGAGAGATCCGGAGCGTTCGTTGACGATATAAAAAGGCTGCTCTCCGTCCCGAGCGGCAGTCAGTCAGTCAGTGAGTCTGTATTCAGAAAGCGAATCATGCGTTTGAATAAAGAATTCAAGAATTAAGCGTTAGTTGCTAAGTGTGGAATATAAATTAGTTGTGATAGTGAAATATTGTTAAAAATAAATTTGTTTAAGACAGTTAGTTCTTGAATTCGTTACAGTACATTTTAATTTCAAAACAAAAGAAACGACCACAAATTTTCAATAACATGTCACTTTTTGTAGTAGTGATAGTAAATCTCAGATTTCACTGTTCCCAATTAATGAAAATCCATTCTCCGATGATCCAGGCCAGCAGTCTCCAAACTACGGCCCGCGGGCCAAATACGGCCTGCCAGTGTCATCAATCCGGCCCGAGACAGCCAATGATTTACTGTCATCAATTTGGCCCGCGACAGCCAATGATTACGTAATTGTTGTTACTATTGCTATGATAAGTCGAAGAAGAAAATACAGAATGATAATTACTCGGTTTTATTTACTTGCAAAGTAAAACTTAACGACAGAAATGATGACAAAGAAAACTTAACTGAAGTATCTAAGTTTAGGCATATTAATAACTGACAAATGATTGAAATGAATCACAATAAAACGAAAACACTAATGAGATTTATATAATTGTGATTTTCCACCGACAATACTTTGTAGTTGTGGATCAATTTTACTTGTACCAATTATCAAAAGAGATTTAAGATGCTCATCGGTTAATTGAGATCTGTAAACATTCTTTGTGTACTTCATCTTGGAAAACGTTTTCTCAGACAAGTAAGCAGTACCAAAAACAGAAAAAAACACACGAGCAAATTTATGCAAATTATCAAATTGTTTCAGTGGAAGACTCTTATAAAATTCCAACAAAGATGAATTTTGATATTTGTTCTTAAGCATATCACTGTAACGGGAATCAATAATTTCCATTCGGACTTCCGGAGCTAGGGTTTCAATGTCAGAATCGAAAGGATTTTGAAAAAGCTTAATTTCATTCGCAATGACATCAAAATCTGAAAAACGAGTATCAAAATTTATCTTCAAAGCACTCAAAGTTTCGATTGCAAAATTGACGGGAAATTCAGTCTCTGTAGTGTGGCTGAATATTTCACATGTTTCAAAATGTGTGAAACATTTTTTACGTATTTGCCATTGAAATAGTATCATTTTCTGCCTGAAGGATTTGATATTGTTGTATAAATCAGGGAGAAGCTGATTTTCTCCTTGCAATCTCAAATTCAGTTCGTTCATATGATTTGTCAAATCGACATAGAGGGCTAACTTCCACATCCATTCACTATTTTCTAAATCGGAAAAAGGGCGCTGCTTCTCATTTAAAAAAATTTCGATCTCTGCTCGGAGTTCAAGAAAGCGCAACTAAGCCAGCGCAACTAAGCCAGCGCAACTAACTTCAGACATATCCAAACATTTTCCGCACAAGGACTGTTGATGAATGATACAATGTAAGACTAATGGTTTTGAACCACCATCATTTTCTACAACCTTTGACACAAGTGCAACCACTCCTTTATTTTTACCATACATATTTTTGCCTCCATCAGTTATATATTTCAAATTTCTCCATCGAAGGTTCTTTTTATCAATGGCATTTTCAACTCCCCCAGTTGTCGTGTCGTGAATATTATTAATATCAAGAAGTTCTTCATACACTTCATAGCTTTCATCTACTCCGCGAATAAAAATTAACACCTGAGCAGTATCTGACACATCTGTTGACTCATCCAATGATAGAGAAAACCACTCATGATGTCCATTTTTGTCAGACAGTTGAGATGATATATTTTCTGCGATGTCTTGCACCCTCCGAGCCACGGTGTTTGCTGACAAACTGACACTTTTAAATAAATTTACCTTTTTGGGGCATATTTCTTCGGCTACTGTAATCAAGCATTCTTTTATCATTTCTAAAAAAATCATTATGGCCCGAAGGCTTCAAAGTTTGGAGACCCCTGATCTAGGCGGTCAAGAAATCGGTTCTTCTCGTCCAATACACTTATCTAAAAAAATGATATTAAAACATCTGATTGGAGCCACATTTCATCTTCGATGTGATTAGGTAGAGATGTTTGATCCACCTAGAGAAATCTTCTCTGATGAATTGAAGTAATTCTTGTCCATTCAATTTGCGTTCGAAAAAATATTGTCCACGATACCGCGCCATACAGCAGATTCCACTCAAGTTGATGATCGTTAACATGCAGTTTATGCGGATTTTTGGTATTATAATATCTGACGAATCCATTTCTGTGCATCGTTCGACAAAACTGTAATTTCTTCAAAAAATCTGCTGGTGTAGCTGCACGTAGTGAGGGTACAAGTATTATTTTTCAAATACACACATCTTCAAAATTCTTGGACCTCTCCTCGTAAATTGTGAAACAAAATATTTATCATGGCTGGTTTTTTGTACAGTTCATCTTTATTCCTTTCACCTGTGCTAGACATGTAAAAATGTTTTCAAAAACAATTTCCTTTAATTTTAGATACCAATTTTTAAAAAGTGGTTCATACTGATTTAGCGCGTTAAAATGATTGTTGAGTTCTTCTTTGCAATTATGCCTGGCAATAGAATTTCAGTGTTCCATAGAGCAAAAATTGTGACTTTGCATATAAGAGTACAAAATGCACTAGAGATTGAGAATATTCAAAGATTATCGTGGCCGGTAAATTCACCAGACATAAATCTCATTGAGCATATAGTGGATTTCATTAAACGAGCAATCTCAAACAGAATCAATCCTCCTAGCACCCTCCCGGAACTCGCGGCCCAAGAATAATGGAACAACATCCCAATGGATACCATTAACGCCCTTATTGTTTCCATGCACAGGCGTTTTAACACCTGACATCAGAACAAAGGAGGACACACCAAATATATATGCATTTTTATTTCGCTCTTAATTGGTTTTCTTCTACATTTCAGACTTTGGTAATCATTTTATTATGCACTATTTTCCGTTTGTATTTTTTTTTCTTTTTCAGTTAAAATTAAATTCAGCCAATTGGCGTTGGTTACATAACCAAATTAAATGTTCTTTGTAATACACTTCTTGACTTATGATAATAGTGTCCCATTAAGAAAAACATAAGGGGTTCCAAGAATTTTGGCGATGTGTGTATCTAGCAACTGAAGATTTAGAAATCTTTAAAACCCTGCTCATTTCCTTAACAATCAATTAAGGATGTTCTAACATCCAAACACAAATAGCTGAGAACGACTCTTTTTTTCGTATTCGTATTTTCACAAATTACTGAAGTTACGTTGTGAGAGAACAGACCATATCACTGAAACGGTATTGATTGATGAAAACTATTTATCTGTTAGTGGTAGCAAACCTATAATTCAGTTGAAAGAAGTTTGAAAAATGACAAATTTCACACTTCCTATATGCAATGACACTATGAGTTGATGAAAGCAGATTTATTCAATAGACTACGGTTTTGTCGCACGATGCAAAATACAATTAGGATCAATGGAAGATTCCTGAAAAACATTATGTTCAATAACAAAAGTACCTTCTACAGGAATGAATTTGTCAATAGGCACAACAACCATTATTAAAGTCCACATAAACTGTATGTTAACGACGATAAATATAAATGGAGTTGTAAAGGAACAACATATAGCTACATTCCTGAATAGTATTAATGAGCATAAATACAATATATCCGTTCAAGGTGGCTATATTGAACCGAAGTTCAGATATTGGCCACCGATGGGGCTCGCTGCACACCCCTAATGGTACTTCAGTTAGAGCTTACCAGAATAAGAATATAACCGATATCAAACGGCCAAGCGCTCTATGCGCATGTTGACAGACACGGATATCTTGTGTTGGGTCCGGATGAGGGTTGGGGACGTACTATCGCGGGCAGACTAGGCCTGACGTACTAGACATCGCGCTTCTCAGAAACGTCTCTCTGACTAGTGACATTTACGTTCTGTAGGAATTGAATTCTGATCACAATCCTGTTATCCTGGTACTTTGCAATGATCTTCCTTCTCCTGATTAACGTATGAAATCTTCAACATATTGGGATATCTTCACAACCCAGCTCGGAGAGATGTGCGCCCCTCCTGAGACACGTCACTCTCCAGACGAACTCGACGCGGCAGTTGAACGTTTCGAGCTTTGTGTAAATGATGTGTTTCAAGGGGCCAACTCCAGAGAAGAGTGTCCGCTGAAGAGCTACAATGAGTTTCCCCCTCGTATCAAAGCCTTGATATGAGCAAGAAATCGCTTGAGAAGGCTCTATCAACGAACCCTTTTCCCAGGAGATAAAATTGCGGCAAGCAGGATGGCCAGTCAAGTCAAACAGGCCATCATTTATCACCGAAACGAAAGGTGGGAGGAGCTCTTGGAATCCCTTGAGCCTGGGGACAATGAGCTTTGGCGAGTTACCCGCAGACTCAAAGGGAAGAAGACTGCTCCCTTAGCCATTCACGGAGAGCGCGGAGTGTGCTACTTCCCCGCCGACAAAGCGTTGGCCTTTGCCGATACGATGGAATGTCAGTTTCAACTTAACGTTGACGACAACGACGACATCGACCGCGATATTCTACTAGAAGATCGGGTTCACCGTATCCTCAGGGAAGATGACGACGATAACATCCGTCCGGCTTCTGTGTAAGAGCTGAAGGGTTACATCAGGGCAGCAAATGCCAAGAATTCTCCGGGGGTCGATTCAATAACCAATAGGTTGTTGAAGCGGCTCCCAGACAAATGCGTCGAGAACCTTCTTAATATAATAAACAGTTCGTTGGCCCTCAAACACTTCCCCAGAAGGTGGAAGCATGCGATCGTTGTCATGATCCCAAAACAGGATCAGAACCTGCTGTTCCCACAGAACTATCGCCCGATCAGTCTGCTCTCATCGGCGGTTAAGCTGGCTGAAAGAGTCGTTCTGCAAAGACTCAACGAAGAAGTTGAGGACCGAAATGTTTTGCCTGACGAACAATTCGGCTTCAGGAGAGAACACTCCACTGAGACTGGTCAAAAATACCATCGCAGAGCTAAACCACAATCGAAAAGTTCATTTTGTTCTTTTAGACATCTCGAAGCCCTTCGACCGTGTATGACACGAAGGTCTTCTACATAAGCTAGATCGCGTTCGACCTGCCTCGGGGCCTGATTCAGTGGATTGGGTCTTTCCTGAAAGACAGAACATTTCAGGTTAGAGTAGAGGGCTCTCTGTTTGACAACAGAGAGATCCTCGCTGGAGTGCCACAGGCGGCTGTGCTCTCTCCCATGCTGTACTCTTTTCACACCAGCGACCTCCCGAGGTCCGAGCGATGACACGGCTGTCTTCTCATCTTCTATGGGTCAGGATCTCAGGATGGTCTACATGCAAAGTGCATTGAACGACTTCGAGCGCTGGTACCTCGAATGGAAGATCCGAGTGAACCCGGAAAAGACTCAGGCGATAACCATCTTCTCCGGCCAGAAAAATGAGAATCTCTGGAAGTAAGGTCGACTGGCAAGCGCGGTTAAGTACCTCGGTCTTCTAATAGACCGTAGGCTCACCTGGGATCCGCACATTAAATCAAGGATCGATCGACGAATAGCTAGTCTGTACCCTCTGATCAACAAAAGATCTAGAATGAGCCTAAAAAACAAAATTATCATCCACAACATGATGTTCAAGCCTGTCAGGGTACACCTAACTGTTTCACATGCACAAAAGTCTGCAAAGTTTAATGGACCTCACTTTGCCTTTTTGATGAATTAGTACGTGTATAAATGTCCTTACATTGTTAGGGTCTTTGAAAATATATACGGACCTCATTTCACTAGGAGAATACTACAATCAGCACTTGGTAGATGTATATTGAAAAAATAAATAAAAAACCACCAACACTGACATAAAAACTTGGCAAGTTGACTCGGGTGTCACACCAATAGGTGGTTCCACTTATGTTTCGCTTGCGTTTACGCAACTATTTTTATCAAGTACTTTCTTGGTTTTTCTCATTTTGTCTTCAATCGAGGAACGCCTGCCCGGTACTGATGATGCCCAACAGGCTGAAACAGCTGTCTACCGGTGGCTCTTAAATTGAAATCAATATGGGAGTGATCAAGAAGTACTTATCTATTTATTTTTTGATTTTCATGGAATCATTTCCAATGAATTATTTTCCAATGAATTATTACACAAGTTTGAAAGTTGATTCAAAATGAGGTAATATTTTTAGAAGGTTGATGATATTTCAAAAATGAATGATTTTCATACGAACACTTACAAAATTAATTGAATTAATCTATTATATTTAGTAATATTTTATGATTTTTTCAGCAAAAATCAACAGGAAAACTATTGTTGGAAGCCACACCACCACATGCTTCAATAGCGAGCTTAGAATCTGTAGAGATATTGAATGGTGGTGCTTGCTCTGGAAAATGTAACGAATGTGAAATAAAGAATGACGAAGAAGTAAAAACCAATCACCCTTCTGACGAATCCAAAGCAACATCGCCGTGTCAAATTATTGTTGATAACGTACAGAGACAAAATGATATAGTTATCTATACGTGCAACGATGACACCCAAGAAAAAAGACAACCTACTTGTGTTCAAGGCAATAGTGGCACTGACGGCGAAACCAACACAACGGCAGACGAGCAGCATATGTGAATATTTCAATCGAATTTGTTACATAATTCATCTAATATCATATTTTACATGAATACCTAAGTTTCATCACTCAACAAGGCTGTGCTAGGTTAAGTTTTAGATGAATATTATTGTGATAATGTGAATTTTTATCAGAAGACCGTTTCAAATCGGTTTTAAAAATAAAATATTAAGTAAACAATGTTTGTTTCAATACAACCAAAATAATTGTAGGGGTTCGTCCGTTTCGTTCATTAACAAACTTTCAATCAAATATAGACCCGTATTTTTCTCTAGAAATTGTATAGTCATTCGTATCCTACATTCGGCTACGTATCACACCTATTGTAGTAACAACTGTTCGGACCAAAACAATTAAAATCATGGTTCGACCAACAGAAATCATGAATAAAATACGGACTTTTACGTCACTTATGCATTCCAAGAAAAGTAGGTGAATATCACTTCAAAAGTTTTCCATATTTTTGGCCATAATACATTTTCAATAAGTAACGACAAAGATGATATTTTTTTAACAAAAATTCATTTATCAACCTAAACTGATCAAGAAAATACGAATACGAAATATACTTTGTTTAAACGACGGTTAATCATATGAACATAAAAAACCAAACACGATAAAACTATAACAAATGTTCAAGATTTGTACATTTATGTAATTTTATGTGTATAAGCGTAACATATTTCTTTTGACTCCATTACAATTTTCTCGGATTTTATATTTCACCGTCTCCTATTCCTCCTATTCTAACGATTAATCACTTTTACGAATCAACATGTTTTCTTTAAAGAATATTATTAAAGTAAAAACAGTGCATCATTAAGTATCAGTGATAATAGTGGCATATGATAATAAAACACAACTGACAGCTAACATGTATATCACTAAAGAGAGCACTCTCACTGAAAAATTCCCATTCATTTCATTATATACCAATACCATTCATTTTAATATACTTAATAATTTTGTATCAATCCACAATCTAATAGTGGCATATGATAATAAAACGCAACTGACAGCTAACATGTATATCACTGAAGAGAGCACTTTTACTACCAATTCCCATTTATTTCATTATATACCAATATCATTCATTTTATTATACCTTAATAATTTTGTATCAATCTACAATCAGCCATCAACAAAATATAATTCTGGTTATGAAATCACTAGGTTTTAATTTCATTAGTTCGGATTTTTATTGTCTAATATGATATAATATGATTTGAAATCCCTGAAAAACAAATGAAATTGAAAATTGAAGTGAATAGCTGAAAATAACAATTATATTAAGAAAAAAAACCTTAATATGAAATCAAGCAAAAAAATTGAAAATTGAAACATAAAAATGAAATGAAAATCAAAAGATTTCCAGCCAAGTTACTCCACGACGTCTCGATTATTAGTATCCACTGGACATTCGAGTGCTTTCACCTTTCCCCTCTTCCCTCCTCCACCTCACCGATTTAATGTGAGATGACCATTTGGCGGGAGTTGATCGTTTTCCCCTTGATTTGGAGTTTTCTTATGTTGCGTATCTCTACGATAGCTTGGCTGAATTCGTCGTTGGACATCATATATGTAGCTTCTTTGGATTTCCTCCTAAACCAGCCTTCATATGGATTATCTCAGCTTGGGAGCACTTGATGTTATGTTGATGAGTCCAAACATGATCTGCCATTTCCGATTTGCCATTTCCACATCTGTTTCTTGTGGTCGGCAATGCGGACTTTCAATGGCCTCTTAGTTTCACCGATATAGGATTTGCCGTATCCGGTATCCGATGAATGCAATTTTTGAAATCGCAGTCCGTGTTTTAATTGACTGGTTTTCGTAAGGCTGCTACGAATGGTATTTCCGGAACTGAAGCAGGTATGGTGTTGTTCTTGAACCCAGTTCTGTGTATCCTTTCCGACAATCCTACATCGGTGAAACTAAGAGGTCATCGAATAAGAATTTCCGGAAAGGATTAAAAGAATTGGGTCCAAGTACAACATCAGAACCTGCTTCAGATAAGACACTTTCCCTAAGGCTCTTCAGGTGATTCCAGGGTTTCTCTCCTGCACAATCTTGAAAACGACTTAAATATTTTACTGCAAAACAAATATCTGGACGTGCAGTTAGCATGATAACACAAGACTACCAATGAGTTCCTGTACGGTTTGTCAATTTTCAGACTAATGTCGGAAATTTTCTCTAATTTCAAATCTTTTTCTACTGTTTATATAACGTTTATATACCAGTAAGTAAGTATTGATTAAAACGTTCATTTCAACATTTTGGTGATTGTTTCAAGCCATATAATGACCTATTCAGCTTACATACTTTTCCATTCTCGCAATCCTTTCCATCTGGAACCTCCATATATACATTTTCTTCTAGAAATCCATTCAAGAGGCAGTTTTACCATCCATCTGGAACAATGGGTATCTGTATTGGACTGCTACTGACATAAATGACCTAACTGTTGTTAATCTTTCAACAAGAGCATACGTTTCTTTGTATTCAATGTTTTCTTTCTGCTGAAAACCTCTTGCTACCAGTCTAGCTTTGTACCTCTCTACGTGTCCACTTACATTTTTTTTCTGCTTGAACACCCATTTGCTTGTTATAGGTTTCACTTTTTCAGGACAGTCCACTAAATTCCAGGTATTATTTTCCCATTAGGGAGTCTAATTTGAATTGAAGGGGTTATATTTTTTGGAGTGATTGATTTTTGGGAAAGAAAGTTTTTGGCCTTCTTTCCCAAAAAGGAGTCTAATTCTTCCCTCACTCCATTTTTCCATTTGTTTGCATCATATTGTGGTAGATTATCAATATATTTATAGTTTTCTGGTACATTTTCTGTTATCGAATCTATATTTAGTGCCATGTAGATTTCAAAGTCATCTAACCAGATTGGCCTTTTTGTAATGCTTTTCTGATGTACACTTCAGACGTAGTTTCTATTGATGGCATTTCAATGATTGACGTTTCATTTTGAATATTTCACAATCTACTTTCAAGATTTCTCGTTTCATTTTCTGAATTTATTATCTGTGATTCTACTGGAATTTCATTAACAATTTCTATGGTTTCTTCAGGTTTTGTACAATTTGAATTTTCTTTTGCTTTATTCATGTCATCAATATGCATTATTATTTGATGTTCAACATTTTTTCAGCTTTATTCAGCTTCAACCACAGAGGGTTATTAGCTGAAATCATTTGCAAATATGTATTATTATTACAATATAATGTCATTTAAGTTTTATGTAATACTTTCATGGTCCGATTTATCACTTAATATAGTTTTCAAGTCATCTCCTAGATTATGCCGGCGTCTCTCATTTGTGTATAGTGATCGCTCGGTTAAAATATTTGCGATAGTCAATTCAGTATCACATATATAACACATTGGAAATGTTCAACATTTAAGTTTTCGATTTGAGGACGCCTCTCATCAAAAATCACATCCCTTGATAGAATAATCTTCCTTTCATATTCATGTTCACAGCCGATAACCATTTTCCGCATAACTAATCACTCTACATATATCAGTAGTTTCATCTAATTTTGTTCTTTTTTCTTCAGGTATTTGAACAAAGGCCTTGGAACCAAATACTCTTATTTTAGACAAATCTAGTTTAAATCCTGTCCACATTTCTGCTGGGTTTTTTTTTAGGCATCGTGTGTAACTTTTGTTTGTTAAATATGTTGCTGCGAAAACCGCTTCTCCCCACATTTCTTTCTTCATTTTGGCATCAAATATCATTGTTCTTGCCTTTTCAAGAAGTGTTCTATTCATTCTTTCAGCAAAACCATTTTGTTGAGGTGTAGGTATATCTCATCGTGTAGATCAATTTCACTCCCTTTTCTTCACTAAATACTTTGAGAGCGGTTGATCTATATTCACCACAGTTATCTACTCTGAGACTTGCAATTTTCAATGAAAATTTGCTTGTTACTAGTGCTTCATACATTTTAAAATACTTCAAAACTTCATGTTTACTTTTCAACAAATATACAATTGTGGAATGAGTATAATCATCAATAAACGTAATGAAATAGTTAGATCCATCCCAGGATGAAGGAGTGATTGGTCCACAAATATCACTATGAATGATTTCCAATGTCCTTCTACTTCTTGGTTTATTGATGTCGTTGAATGGCAGTCTTGTTTGTTTTCCTCTCAAGTCTTCTTCATATTTATACGTCATGTGAGCTATATAACTTTGCTACAAACGGAAAGTTATTTCATAAAGATGATCACTTTTACTACCTTTGGCAATTAAACCAGCTTCAGTGTATGATTTCGCTTCTCCACGTTCAAAAACAATTTTGAATCCCATCATTTCCAGTCGCCTCACAGATAACAAATTTACTCTCAAATCAGGAACAAAAAGCACATTTTTCATTGTTATGTCTAAATTTCCTTTTTTCACTTCGATTTGACCAATTTTTGTTGCTGATAATGATCGTCCTGATTTCGCGACTACAATCGAAATTGGTTTCTCTAGTACCTTCGCAACGGAAAAGAACCTGTCATCGTTAATCAGATGATCTGTTGCTCCTGACTCAATGAAAAATGATAATAATTTCTTCTCGTCATTTTTAGTTGTCTGTTCTGATGTCAGGAAAGCAATACTAGCCACGGTTCCCTTTGCAGACTCTTCGTTTTCTTCGGTCATCTGCTCCGCTTCACTATAGTTAAAACTTCTATAATTTCTTTTCTGATATTTGAAGTGACCCTTGTATTTTCATTCTGACATTGTTTGGCCTCTGACTCCACATCGGTAGCAATTGAATTTATATGGTCTGGATTCTAGGTTTTTCTTTTCTTCACTTTTATTAAAGAAGGATGCACTTTGTAGTTCTTCACTACTATGTCTATTGTTTATCTTGTTGTCTTCGTTAAATATTCTTTTTTTTACTAAATCCAATGTTAGTTTATCTTCAGATAATGTCTCTAATGCTGTAGTTAAACTATCATACGGTGACGATAACGTAATCAATAAATGTGTAACAACCTGAACTTTTTCCAATTTTTCACCTGCCGATTTCAGATGTCTCACAATCTCATCAATTTTTCTTAAATGACTTTCCATACTTTCGTTTTCCTCTGATTATAGCATTAAAAGCTTCTTTCTTAAATAAATTCTACTAGCAAGTTCTTTCTTTTGATATGAATTTTCTAGAGCT